CTCTTGCTGCATTGTGTTTAGTATCATCGTGCGCCGCAGTGTATCGTTAAACACCACAAGGTGGACATCGTGAACTGCAGTGGCAAGGAGACTGCAGTCTTGGACAGAATGGGACCCCATTATAGGTTGATGCAATAAAATGTACCATCATAATGGCTGAAATGGCGCGAGATGATTGGTGTGGTGTGCGATTAGAAGGTCCCAGTTTGGTTGAAGGGAAAAGTGTGTAGTGTGTATAGTAGTGTATAGTGTAGCGTATAGTAGTGTATAGTGTAGTGTATAGTGTAGTGTATAATGTAGTGTATAGTAGTGTATAGTGTAGTGTATAGTAGTGTATAGCAGAGGTGTGGACTCGAGTCATGTGACTTGGACTCGAGTCAGACTCGAGTCATGAATTTGATGACTTCAGACTCGACTTGGACTTGCATAACAATGACTTTGTCCCACCTCTGGTGTATAGTGTAGTGTATAGTGGTGTACAGTGTAGTGTATAGTAGTGTATAGTGTAGTGTATAGTGGTGTATAGTAGTGTATAGTGTCGTGTATAATGTAGTGTATAGTGTAGTGTATAGTAGTGTATAATGTAGTGTATAGTAGTGTATTGTAGTGTATAGTGTAGTGTATAGTTGTGTATAGTAGTGTATAATAGTGTATAGTGTAGTGTATAGTTGTGTATAGTGTCGTGTATAGTACTCTATAGTGTAGTGTATAGTAGTGTATAGTAGTGTATAGTGTAGTGTATAGGACAAGACGTTGGTGAGGCCGGTGCTGTTGTATGGGGCCGAGTGCTTGGGGCACAATAAATAGGGAGGACCAAGCTACGGCAGTCACAGAGATGAGGATGTTGCGGTGGATGTTTAGTCTTCACAAGGAAGGCCAGGGTGAGAAATGAAGTGAGAGGAAGACTCAAGGTGGTAGAGATCACAGAGAAGACGAGAGCGAAAAGGCTCAGGTGTGGTTCGGTCATGTGGAGAGACAACGAGAAAATCGTGTGGGTCAAAAGGTGCAAAGTGATGCAAGTGGAAGGAAAGAAATCAAGAAGAGGAAGACAGCAGAAGAGGTGGGGGGGGGGGGCGATGTGGCGCAGGACAGGGCAGCGTGGAGAAGGTTGGCAAGGACGGCGGACCGCACGTGAGTGGGACAGACGCGTGTAAGATGAAGAAGAACGAATCAAATTTACCAAAATAACCGGGGAACAGAAATCCTATCGAACCACACTCTAACCACTGCGGTTGAAGTATCATCCAACAACCCCATCATTGCCTTGGCACAGGAGGGACTTTCATCCAGAATCGGACTGACAAACGACTCTACAGTATATTGCTGCTATTGTACTTTATTTATTTTAAAAGCAAATACTGCATTGTCAATTCCTGTTCTGCATTTGTACTATAAGTTGAGCATTGGTGCCACCGGGTGGTACGAGTGGAAATTGCGTTGTGTATAATGCACTCCTGTACAGGTAATTGGGTCGAGATGCAAGTGTTTATATATTTTGTATCCAACAGCCTCTCTAATAAACCCTCCAAATACTCAGTGTGTTGTTACAATGAACAATAATTTAGTCAATCATTTTTTTCGTAGATTAATACTTGTCCCAACTACTTAGATGCTCGGTGATAGGTAACACATTACAAAAATGTAATTAAATACTGTAATGAATAATAATCACGATAATAATTGACATACTTTAGGCCATACATTACTGGATGAAGGTCTCAACATAATATGCCGGGTCACGGGGGGGTTGTGGGTTGTTTGACCATACTTCACCACACTGGTCGTGACGGTTTAAACATCGGTGGCCACCCACGTGATTACCCATGGCCGGGAATCAGACTCGGATTGGTGGGTTCAAAGGGCAGTCTGCGAAGCTATACATAACTGTGTTGTGTTAACATTTACAACAGAATGTCAATGTACTGCCGCCAATACGTTTTCACGGTCGTGCTGTATAGACAGTTCGCTACGATTTGGGGTTGTGCCGTGTGTTGTTCAGCATTTGTCTGACGTTTCGCTCCCAGCACGACCTGCGTTTGATTCCCAGCACTGGGAACAGCATCTCGCTTTAAAGCTTTCGTGACTGCAGGGATTCATCTTCTTGGTTCTTTGACTTTTTTCGGTAAAGTCAGGTAGAATGGAAATAATAAAATAATAAAAATTAAACAATAAATAATTCTCACAGAGAATAATTCTCACAGAGAATAATTTTATTGCTTTAATAAAAATAAAACAATAAAATAATTCTCACAGAGAATTATTTAATAATTCTCACAGAGAATTATTTTGTTTTATTTGTATTATTGTATTATTTCCATTCTACGTGACTTTACCGAAAGAACCAAGAAGATGGAACGGCATCATTGGCGACTGATATCTGAACCAATCCCAGCCCACTCGCCACCACCACTTCGCAAACCTTCACCGACTCTAGCGCGGCGCAGCCCGAAGAGACATCGAAGAAATGTCCACGTACGTTTGTAAGCTCGGTGAAATGTGCACAACTGTACAGTGCTGGCAGTCAGCCACTGTTGTGGCCCTGAATTGCCTCCAATGGCTTTTAAGTGGTATGGGAGTGCACGCTTCGCTAAACTGCACATGGACCCATTACCGCATCTTGGGTTTCGTTCAACTTGAAGTTGAATCCCACGCTAATTGTATTTCTGTAATTCTAATACAATTGCAGGGCCTGTGTTAGGATGGAGTTATTCTTTTTTTAAGACAAGGTAACCCATACGTCCTTTGGACGTGACTATCTGTCCCTCTAGATTTGAAGCTTTCGTGACTGCAAGGATTCATATTCTTAGGTTTTTTCGGTAAAGTCACGTAGGTAAAACATTAAAATTAATAAAAAAATAAAAATCACGACGTTTCGGAGGCAACACAAGCTTCCGTCTTCAGGTGGAACCGTCACAGCCACGACAGCTGTATCAAGTAAATGATACAGCTGTCGTGGCTGTGACAGCTGTATCAAGTAAATGATACAGCTGTCGTGGCTGTGACGGTTCCACCTGAACACGGAAGCTTGTGTTGCCTCCGAAACGTCGTGATTTTTTTTAATTAATTTTAATATTTTACCTACGTGACTTTACCAAAAAAAACCTAAAAATATCTGTCCCTCCTAGCCAGAAAGCCAACCAGCAAAATTTTTACTTATATAGAGCCCTGTCTCACTCGACTTCTCTCTTGCCTTGTTTATGCTGCATGTTCCAATGTATCTCAAATTCCCACGTTGTCTTCATTTCTAGTTGTTTCTCTATTCTGGTCCCATTTTTTACATGCTTTTATTTAACTGACTCTGTCTGTCGTTGTTGTTGTTGTCGTATCCTCAAATCTTGTAACTCAATTTTAACCCACTTCCCAATGTGGTATCGACTGCAAACTTGGTATACTTATGTCATACTGATGACAATACTATATTCTATCAAAACACTTTTTTTTACATAAAGTTTTATATGTTATGTGTCGGCTTGGGTCGAATTGTCCACGCTCAACTGACGTTGGCTGTAAATCACCACGGCCCCTTACGTTATGGAAAGCTTTTAGGCCACTTCCTGGAGTCGTGGAGTTCTGCCATTACGAGTAGGGTACATTTCATTAAATCGTGTTTTAAAAAAGTATTGTAAAATATTACTTATTACCTCTCTCTTCCTCTATATTCCTCTCTTCCCTCCACTGTGTCTCACCCACTTCCCTCCCCCCTATCTCCCTGTTTCTCTCTCTCTAACCTCTCACACTTGCTCTTCCTATTCCAAATTCTCCCTTTCCCATATCAATCTCTCTTGCGCGAGCCAGCCAGCCAGGAGTCCAGACATAAAGCCAGCCAGCAAAACTTTTTTTCTAATAAAGCATGAAATTATAGTAGCAAGAATAAGGGGCTGATGTACAAACGGTTCCAGCTGCTCTGGTTGAATAGTTTAATCTGACATTCCGTAGTGTTTAGCTGATTGTTAGTATTGGGCCATGTGCATGGGTAGGTAACATTGCAAAGTATTATTTGATCTTGCCACCATAGGCCACTTCTGTCATTTTAAGCTTCCCTTGTATTTTTTTTCCTGGTTAAAGATTTAGGTGACTTTACGAGCTTCCCAAGTAGCTCAAAGGTAAGAACACTGAGCTGGCACTGCACTTCTGAAATCCTGGGTTCAAGCTGCCCCGTATGTCTGTATGTATGTACGTACGTTGAACTTATTTTGCACTGTACGTAGCCAACCGCGCTAATCGTAGGTTCGGGGCAAGGACAACAAGCAAACACAAAAAAGCACTTCTAAATACATTAGTTTTCGCTCTAGATTTAAAAGTGCATATTTAGATTTACAGGTCAGTGTGAGTTAGAGACGTTGGGGGGAGCTGGGAAGGAGGGGCCGGTGCAGGTCTGGTTCAGATGTCACATGCCACTGATATCAATGTGGTCAGGAATTAAAAACTTAGGTGACACATTTATGGTGTAGTGCGCTAACCACTGCACCGCCACTCCCTCCAGTGTATGGTTTGTATGGTTAAAATTCATGTTTCCCTTGAATAAGAATTAGGTGAAGTGACACTGATAAATGAACAGATATTTTCTTTTATGTAAACATTCCCTATACAATGGCATTTTGTTCAAGTGCAATTAGTATTTTACTTTAACCTTCTTTACATTTCATGGTGAAAACTCGTATTACATTTTTGGCCGAACTGTGCTCCATCCATGTAGATGGAATGCTCCTGCCAATAACATCTGGCAACCCAGCAACATTTGTTTAAAAAAGCCTGACGCTGCTGATGAGACCCAGGAGGTCAAAACCATTCCAGAGTTTGCTTATTCAAACAAATACTGCTGGATTTAATTTGTCTCCAAACCAGTGGGCTGATGGACAACAAATTTTTTTTTTATGCGAAGAGACAAATGGCGGTCTCTGTATTCTACCATTCAATTGTTAAAAAACATCAACGGCACGCAGATTTTACCTCCCACATCTCTCGACCACCCTCAACTTAGAAAGAACGGCGCAACTCACGGGAACTTGATGTGGATGAATGCCCTGGAGGCCAGGAACCCGCCGAGCATGCACGCACAGCCCAGAGAGAGGCACAGGTAGCGGTGCAGGCGTGAGAGAGAGGGCTTTTCAGCTGCCAACATCAGCAGAAAGCCCAGGCCTCCCACACAGAACAGCATGCCGGCAGCCAGCCCTTCCAAGATGTACTGCGAATGTAGGCTGCAGATGGACCGCAAACACATGAGTGAACTTTGAAGACCTTTGCTTTATGAATGTGTGTTGTGTGTAGAGTTTTTGTTCAGGCTTTTATTATTTTGTCAGTGGGGAGCCCCCCGTTGAGGTTCCGTAATTATCACATATTTCATGAGTAAATAGTGAAAGAGAGCTAAAATAAATGCCAGGTGTGGGAACCGAATTCAGATACAAACTCGAGACAAAGCAGCACCTCCAAAGGATAAGCAAGGAAACGTACAAATCCCAGTTGTGTTTGAGACGCTGGTCATCCCACAAAATGACACCGTTGGTTGCCACTGACCTGTTAGCCTTGAAGACAATGGGGCGCTGATGTCCGCGAGCATCAATCCCGCTCCCTATGCTCGGAGGTTCGTGAATGACGTCATATATCACACCTGCAAATCGATCGAGGGTCAAGTTTGTGTTTAAGAAATATGAAGAGTCGACAACAACAAGTAATCATGATGCTTTGATGTTTGCGACGTACTGTTGTAACTCTTTGTGATTCTTTCGGTAAAGTCACGTAGAAAGAAAAGAAAAGAAATAATAGAATATGACGTTTCGATTGCAACACAAGCAACCGTCATCAGGTATGAAAGATTGAGAAAACAAACCTAGTAAACTTAGTGCAACATTGTACATAATATGTATATATAAAGTGACTTTCCTATGAGACCAGCCCTTGCGATCAAAAATAATTCCCACCATTGGCTCAAGATTAGAGATAAGCCCTGTTACAACGCTTGCATAATACAAAGTGACACTAACTTGAAATAAAAATCTGAATTTTCATTGAATTACCTGTAATTACTATAGCTCTAAAGAAAATATATTTTTTTACATTATAACATTTAAACTTTTAACACAATATCAGTCTTTATCCTGAGCAAAAAAAAGATAAACAAATAGGAAAATATACTCTTTGGTTCTTTCGGTAAAGTCACGTAGGTATAAAAATAATAGCTCACGACGTTTCGATCTCAACACAAGCAATCGTCATCAGGTGGGACAACCACAGCAAGAAATAAGTATAACCCGTAAAAACAAAGTTTTTCACTATAAATCCTTTATATGCGTGGCGGCTAGAGTCCTCTCGTCCTCTGGCTTGAGATGGCTGCCACCTATGGGTCAGATGATTGCCAGTATTAAGCAATTGGTAATTAAATATTTAATTTGTTTTCCCTAAACAGTGTAAAATTTTGGATCATTTTTTTCACGAACATTAATTGTTTAGCACAACGAGTATATGTGCAAAATGTCAGCTCGATTGGATCACGGGAAGTGGGTTAAAAAACGACCGAAAGATTTGCACGGTCGTAAGCAAGCAAGCAAGCGAACTTAATATAAAGGATTTAAAAACTGCTGAAGTAGGCGAGAGATTTCTTGCTGTGGTTGTCCCACCTGATGACGATTGCTTGTGTTGCGATCGAAACGTCGTGAGCTATTATTTTTCTACCTACGTGACTTTACCGAAAGAACCAAAGAGTATGGATTCCTACAGTCACAAAAGCCTCAAATCAAAATAGGAAAGTGTATTAGACTGCGGATAAGCGCCACTTCTGCGGAGTGGAGATTGCACGCGCAAAGCACATCCGCACCTGATACCAGTACGAAGTAACCGATCATAGTTGCGATGAACGCAGTCGTCGCAGAAGGGATCACCAGCCAGCCTGGCTTCTTTATCCGAACCCTCGGCCACTCTATGACTTGTCCCACCATTGTCCTGCATCGAAGCCAAGCACAACGCGTGTGAGTAAAGGCGTGTCGTCTGGTAGTGTGGAGTGTCGTCGTGAGCGCTCCGCGCGACGAACCAGGTACATCCGAGTTCGATTCCCGCTCACGGTCACGAACACCAGTGACGATTTTATGACCTTCCCGACGTTGACTCAGCCTCAAATGAGTACCTGGTGCAGTGTGTAAATATCGCCCCTCGTGTGCCGTTCCGGCCTTAATAAATGCTCGCTAACAGCACTTGTCCCACAAGTATGTTTAAGCTATAGTGTATGGGGAGGGGGGGTCTTTGTCTTTGGTAGGTGAAATAGGTAAAGGTGTGGCCTCGCAATTGCTTGTTCACAGCCACTGTAGGTGGAAGGGCCTCCACTCCAGCTAACTACGGAGGGTATTTGAGCCACTCATCAACATTGCATACGAAGTGTTGGAAGATGTAGATGTTACCCACACTTTAACCCAATCACGTACGCTCTGCCAATTGACTAACTCGTGGTGCACCAGTTTCTACTGCTGGGTGGATAGGGGTCGGTGGTGATTTGAGTTTCAACTGCAGGATGACGACCCCTGGGGTTGCAAGCACTGTGTGCTAAACATTATGCCGTGGCAGCTCACTTGGCTGGTGGGCTCACAGAGCTAATGTGATGCATATTGCAGACCACCGAGTCTCAGGCTCAAAACCCAGGAGTCCACCAAAGACAAAAAAAACAAATCCTCATGTTAGACAATTTGACTTTTCTCAACTGAGCTGAATATCAGTACAAAATATTAAACTGAAAATGTGGGTTTGATACGTAATGTTTGATCCATTCAGAATCCCAGATCTGTGAGTCCAGTCTTGCACCAACTACAATATCACACTCATCATCTTCCAGATCCTCCGTGAACTCGTGTGACCTGTGGCGTAGCACAGTTACCTCTCCCTCCCTAACCACCGGCGCCTGCCACCAGCTCCAGCAACCAAGGTGTCCATTCCATCTAAGCCCTTATTGAACCTCCCCACTGTGGATGGTCACTGCTTGTAGATTTGAAGCTTTCGTGACTGCAAGGATTCAAAATTTAAATTAATAAAAGTAAAATACTTTTTATTTTACTTTTATTAATTTAAATTTTTTACCTGCGTGACTTTACCGAAAAAACCTAAGAATATGGTCACTGCTTCTCTGCTGCTGCTGCCCCTGCGATCTGGAACTCCCACCACCATCAGGCCGTCTGCATTACTGACTCCATCCATCTTTTCAAGTCCAGGCTTTAAAACCTTCCAGTTCTCCTCTGCCTATGACTGACCTTGTGCAATCTGTCCACGTTTTTTGATCGGCACTGATAGGACATGCGTAGGACGCCTGCTCCCCATAAGGTGTCCCTTGACCGTAATAAAATGTGTCTCTTGTTATTTGTCCGCTGCAGAATAACTCTAAACTCGTTTTTTTAGATTGAAAACTCATTTCTTCACAACCTGCTTTTTATTGTCCTTCCCCTGAACCTCCGATTAGCACGGTTGGCTACATACTGTGCGAAATAAGTTCCACATACATCCATACGATACGCGTGTCTTTGTGTTTTCTCTACAAAGTCTTGAGAAGTGATCACATTTGAACGCTTTATAAGTACAAATTATGTTTCGTGGCTAAAGCGATTTTTAATGGAATATGTACGGATATCACGCAAAGTCTGCATTTTTTTGCAAGAGGCCAACATATGGCTCAGCGGTTGTTGCGGTCCTCGGTGACAGGATTCAACACCCAGCATGGAAATACAAAAAGCAATGCAAAAAAAAGTGGCAAAAAATAAATTGCAACATTTTACAACAATGCACAGCTCATATTTTTCACGCGAATGAACGTTACTTTGATACTTGACCACGCACTTAAAACAACACTTCTATTAAAAAACCAATTGTCATGGATGATTTGCAACAATTATCTTTACATTGTACCCCTACCAAAATGATTATCCGACATTCGTAAGGTCACAAACACTATTACGCCTTGGTCGACGAAACTTCTCAATAGTCAAACATTGTTTTTTTTAACATCCTCATATATCAACAATTCCGTTCGCGTCTATTCCTTTGCTTAATGTCAACGCAACACGCTTCCCTCCGCTCACCTGTCCACACACACACAGCGGCACTTGGCTGATGGGAAACAGCGGCCCTTGTGCCCCGCCGTTAAATGTACGGGACGAGTTCTCCCTCTCTTTCTCTTTACACGCACGTGACGCCGACTGGGACACGTCCGCTTAAGCGTGAGAATAAAAGCATTAGCAACAGGTGAGTGTATTCACACGAAGATAATGCAACGTGTGGCTCTGTCGTGACATTTTGAGGCTGCTCTGACCAATCCTGTGAGTCCACCTGTGTCCATGAGAGGGCACTGTTGGTGCTACACGTAAATAACACTGGTCAACACACTTTTTCTGGCATAAGGTATTCCAACGGTTTTAAGGTAATTTTGGAGTGCTGATTCCAAATCTGGCATCAATTTTTGTCTATCACATCAGGTTTTTGAGATATCAAATATTGCATTTTCAATAAAAACTGCAAGAAGAATAATATTAAATAAATGTGGATATCTATATAAAATTGTATTATAAACACACTATCCTAAAAATACAGCACCATATTTAACACTAAAGCAGTCACTGACTCGCAACAACTTGCAATCATAAGTGAGTTAATTTCGGGTAAAATCAATGAAAATGGGGTATGCCGATAGCATAAAAATTATGTGATAGAGCAAATCTGAGATCAGATTTGGAATCAGCACCCTGAAATTAGTCTAAAACAGCTGCAAAAGTCCAGGCCAGAAAAAAAAAGATTTTTTGTTGACCAGTGTAATCTATGAAATACGTTAAATGTATCATAACACAAATAAAAAAAATTGGTTAAAATAAACATAACGTAAATACAAAATTAAGTATTAAATAATAGTTTATAGATGCAAAAAACAAATTGCTGTGGTTTTCCCACCTGATGATGATTGCTTGTGTTGCAATCGAAACGTCGTGATTTGTTTTTCATTCATTTCTACGTACGTGGCTTTACCGAAAGAACCAAAGAGTATGGATTCCTGCAGTCACGAAAGCTTCAAATCAAGATTAGTTTATAAATGAACTTACCTTTATCTCATCACTTTATCTCGCATCCCTCTCTCTCATCACTTTCTTTCTCTCTCTCGATGCAGTAGTCGAGTGGAGTTCCAGATGTGATTTGCGGATAGTGAAAATCGCGGATAGCAAGTTTGTGAATAACGATGGAATACTGTACGCACAGTGATCTATTAAAGTGTATAAATAAAGGTTCCAAGGGCTTATTTGTCACTGGATATTTACCGGGTTACTGGTAGACTGTATGCAGTTGAATTGGTATGCTGTAGAGATGTCCTGGATGTGGTGTGCTGGGTGAGCGAGATGTTAACTACCTCGCCTGGTACACAGGAGATTGTGGGTTCAATCCCGACCGTGACACGTGTATATTTTTTAGTTTTCGTGTTCTCTCCGTGGTCGCGCGGATTTTTCTCCGGGTCGTCCCGGTTTTCCCTCGACATTTAGAAACATGCTTTTAGAGTATTTGGCTGCTATACATTTCCACATGATAAACCACTTATTTGAGCTATCATTTGTGGCCAGGTCGTTTTGGAAAAAAGAGAGGTGTTTTGCTCAGTGGGTCTGACCTGGTAAAATAAAAAAATATATAAAGTTTAGTTTCAATTGTTTAGTTTTAACTGCAGCATGAATTGTGAACACATCACCTTTACTGCACCTCTTGAAATATTGAAAGCTGAGCATATTTGAGCCTGGTTATATTACTTGGACAGGAGGCTGTCTGGGAATATCAGGTGTTGTTGGCTTGGCCTGCAACGTGGACTTTTCATATTTTTTGGATTTATACCAGATATACTTCGGTTTCCTTCCCACTTACAAAAACACACAGTGATGGATTATATTTTTTTGTTGAGGTATTCATATGGGCAAAGAATTGTTATGGTATTACCATATTACAGCACTACATCCGGGACAGAGGTTAAGTGTTGATGAAACGCAGCCAACTAAAGTGAACCTTCACGGCCAGAAAAAAAATCTCGACACCTTTACCAGTTCTAGATGTGAAGCTTTCGTGACTGCAAGGATTCATACTCTTAGTTTTTTCGGTAAAGTCACGTAGGTAAAAAATGAAATTAAAATTAATAAAAAATAAAATTTATTAATTTTAATTAATACAAATAAAATGTATTAATTTTATTTTCATTTTTTACCTACGTGACTTTACCGAAAAAACTGAGAGTACTTTACCAGTTCCCCCGTCACGTGCAGCAAAACGTCGGACACCGTGCCGTGTTCGGCACGACCGCTAAAACCTACGCAAGTGGCTTTTTCAAGGTGCAGCTGCCAATTTGAATTCGGCTGCAAGGCTGTGTCACACTAGGAAACAAAAATTCCATACAAAAAAAACAGAAACATCCACCAGCATGTGCTGGATGCACCTGAGCAGGAAACTCTTTAGCACGAACTCGCACAACTTGAGATAATTAATGCATTAAGCTCAGGGAGCACACAGAGTATTATTTAACTCAAGGGACCTGGGGGACATTATTCAATTCAGGGAGCTCAGCATTATGGTTTGGAGCTGCTGTGCTCACAACTGCAATGTGAAGATTTATACAACTTTATGAATTATCACAATACAGGGATGCAATTCGATTAATAATAGCTTTTTTAATCCAGTTTTTACCACCTCATATGTTTCTCATATTTTTCTGTCTTGTTGTTTGCATAGTTTTATTCACTCCATAGCCAAAAGGTAACATGAGCGTACCATTTGTATTCATTTGTCCATATATCGGAAGCTGACAATATTCATACGCGGCGTTTGATGTAAAGTGGTGTGTGCCTCAAGAATCAACATGAATCATGACTGCAGTAGGTGGTCACATGGCCGAGATTCCAGTGGCCACCCTGAGTGTCACTGTACCTCGTCTGCTTTACAGTGGACATTTAACTATTAACGATTTGTGTTTTGCCTGGTAAGGCCCACTGAGCTGTATTGCTCTTTTTGAGAAGCAACCTGGCCAAAAATAACAGTTCAACGATGTGGCTTATCGCATGCAAATGCATAGCAGCCAAATACTCTGAAAGCACGCTGATTCTAACTATGAAGGGAAAATCCTGACGGACCCGGAAACAAATCCACGTGACCACGGGGAAAAAATAAAAATTCCAGATATACAGGTGTCAGGGTTGGGATCGAACCCACGACCTCCTGTATACCAGGCGAGGTATTCAACATTTAGCCACCGTGGCTTTACATCTCGCCGCATGACAGACCCCCTGATGTTATTCGCAAGAGTATGTCATTGTGTGCCAGTGCCAACATTCAAATGCAGCACATTTGAATATTTCCCGCGAAGTACAGAACCAAGAAGATGAATCCCTGCAGTCACGAAAGCTTTAAATCGAAATTTACTCAAAAAGGGTTATACATAGCAATAATCACCGCCCAACTGCCAGAATAATGTTCAAAGTCACTCTTGTAAAATTAGACTATCCTCTTCTCACCTGGTTAAACGAATTTAACTCCAACACCCCAGGTAATGATCACACACGTGGCTTCTACGATCCATTGGAGCACTGCACAGATACAGTTCTGCAATCATCCTGTAGATGGCAGTAACACAACACCTCACATTTCGAATGCTACGACTGGCATAATGGCAACAAAGACAAAATACAAAGATCCCCCGTGTAGTCTTGGCAGACTATTGGGACAAGTGCTGTTAGCGAGCACCTATGAAGGCCGGAACAGCACACGAGAGTGTGGGTGGCCAGCACCACACCCGGCCGCCTTTGTCTCCCTCGTGGCGATGTTTCCCCGCCGCACCAGGTACTCATTTGAGGCTGAGTCGACCTAAGCGTGGCCCAGGACCGGCTCAGATAATCATCACAGGTGTTGGCCGTGAACGGGAATCGAACTTCTAGGACGCTTGGTTTGTAACTCAGCTCACTAACCGCTACACTACCGCTCCCCGCGTCGCACGTAACACCAACAATGCGTGATAGTCACTGAAAAACCCTGCTTAGCTTCCGAGATCTTACGAGATCGCGCGCATTTTCGTTGCTTTTTAAATCCTTTATATTAAGTTCGCGTGCTTGCTTGCTTGCTTAGGACCGTGCAAATTTTTCGGTCGTTTTTTATTTAAATCTTTTATATTAAGTTCGCTTGCTTGCTTAGGACCGCTGCAAATCTTTCGGTCGTTTTTTAACCCACTTCCCGTGATCCAATTGAGCTGACATTTTCCACACAGACTCGTTGTGCGTGACAATTAATGTTCGTGAAATTTTTTTTCCAAAATGTTACACTTTTTAGGACAAAAATATTATATTTAATTACCAATTGCTTAATGCTGCCATGCAATCATCTGACCCATAGGTGGCAGCCATCTCAAGCCAGAGGACGAGAGGACTCTAGCCGCCACGCCTATAAAGGATTTATAGTGAAAAACTTTGTTTTTACGGGTTATACTTGTTTTAAATCACAGGCACCGTGTAGGGCAGCAGATGACCCAGGGTTGTTATGCTCCCTTTGTGTACCGCACTATGAACCTGGTGACCTGAGTTCAATTGCTGGCCCTATGGCTCACATCAGGGACGAGTGATATCTGCACCGGTCCTGGGACCCCGCATTCACAAGCCCGCATTGACCAGCACACTGAGGGGCCGTCCATAAATGACGTCACGCGATTTTGGACGATTTTGACCCCCCCCCCCCCCCTCGTCACACGGCGTCAGAAAAAGTCAGACCCCCCTCAAATATGACGTCACAAAGCTCTGCCCCCCCCCAAACCATATTTCCATTTTGAAAATAAAACATGCTTCAAATCGCTTTAAACTATTGTCATTGTAGTGCGTATTTAATGTGGCGCTGCACTCTGATGTTGTAGGAGAAAACATTTATTAAAAAGTCTATTTAATTAAGTAGAACGCGTTGTCTATATTTATTCAAAGTTGCGCATTTTTACGTGACGTCGTGTTTGTCACCCCCCCCCATCACACATCGTCACAAATGTCTGCCCCCCCCCCCCTAGGTGCGTGACGTCATTTATGGACGGCCCCTGAAGTATCGTAAAAATTAAAAACCTTCCACGACCCACGTGTGATTTGGAGGCTCTCATTTAGCAGTGGATTGAGAAAGGGTTGTACATAATACATATACACAACTG